TTCAGGGCATTGAGCTACATAGTTCAGCTTAGTGCCTTTATGTGAAGTATGTGAATATCTCAATAAAAATGCAAAGAAGCATGTGAACTTTAAAACACATATTCAAGAGCTCTTTATTATCAGCTAAGTACCTATCTCTGTGTTTGCCACAAAGGGAATGCAAGGGAATGAGAGTTAGAAATACAACAGATGAGTTATTTTGATGTAGTTTGTAAAACTGTGCTCCCAAGGGAACCTATACTCACGGTATCAAAAACAATAATGAAATCATCCAACAGCATTACTACTTCTTTCCAATCCCATTAAACTGCTCTATTGGCCATCCTTTCCCATCCTGTTGGTCTGGGCAGGTATGTTAAAGTCTTCCAGGCCCTTTCAGTTATAAGAATGGTCTTATTTCAACAAAACATGTGGTCTGGTACGTTAATCAAAACTTCAAATCATTTCAAACAAGATGAGCGCTTCTGCCCTCGCCTGGCCTATTTCAAGCCCAGAAGCTGCATGGGAAGCCCCTTCTGCTCTCTCCACCACCTTTTCCACTTGCTGGCCATGGCTTTGGACCCTTCGGTTGAGACCCAGAGGAAAGAGCCAAGTCTTCCAAAATGATGCAGGTGGAACCTGACCTGAGCTCCTTCTGGATGTGACAGCAGGACAGTGGTTGGCCTGCCTCTTGTGGGGCACTTGGGTGGGATTTCTGAAGACCTCTCTGCAGGGCACTTAGGCCACCTCCCCTGACCCAGGCAATGTCTATCCTCCTATGAGTCACTGTAACTCCACCAAGCCCCACGCTGTCAGGGGCCCATTTCACCCAGACCTTCTTGATGAGGTTGTCCTCTTGGCAAGAAACAGGACCCCTCACTCTCAATTCCCACAGGTCCACCTGGATCACAGTGTTCCGCAGTGGTCCCTGGGCATCCACCTCTCTTCCCTTTGCCTCCAAACCCTTTTCACATTTACGCAGGTCAGGCTGGCTGGGTGGTTTCCTTGAAACATCTCTCCTGTAGCTTGATGTAAGAGGGAATTATCTCTTTCCCCTCCCCATAGTGGGAGGGAAATGACACAGACAACTCTTTCTGACCGCTCCTGCTTCAGTGTCCTACAGGTGGGTGATCACAGCTGCTGGCAGAATTCAAGAGTTCGTCACTAGTTCTGCTAAGGTGGCTCAGACACCCTTAAGAACCATACAGGTTTTTGCCACTTATTGCACCTCCTACTGAACCTCTGGCTCCTGCCTACAAGTCTGAGGCAATAAGAAGAATTAGATTGAACAACCTGTCACACAAGTAATGACAGTAAGTGTAATGGCGAAAGCAGCCATCTTTGTCATAACAGGAAGCTTGCTGAGTTCAGACTCCACATGGACCTTGCTCACTCACACCCTTCCCAGCGCTCAGTGCTTATTAGAGGTGCTTAGTTCTTGTTAATGGACGAGGGAAGTGAGAATACAGAAAAGGGAATAGCAAGTTTCTCCTCCATAAATTCCTTTGGAAAAGAGATTTTTATGTAAGTGGGTCATTCTTGTCTGATGTCATGCTTTACAAGCATTCTCCCAAGCCCATGATGAACAAAATGTATGACTGCTTTCTTCTTGGCCACTTGTCATTCAGACAGTGCCCAGAGCCAGAGGAAGCCAATTGCAACCTGCAGAAAAAGCCACAAGCTCCTTCAGAGTCACTCCCTGGCCTACAAAACCCCTCAAGTAGGTGGTCAGAGCATCTCTTCAGAATGGGAGACCAAAGAGGCAACTCAAGAATGTAAAACTTGCTACAGACTGTACATACAAGACCTGTGCCAAACAACCATGGGTCTGAGCAACTGTAGCCTGCCTGGAGGCCCCTCACCTATCTGTCCAGAAAAGACAAAAGCAACCACAGGAACATCTGATTAAAAGCTCTGTGGGCTCTAACACCTGCAGAGAGCTGGAAATTGTGCAATTGCCACACGAGGCATCCCAGCAGAAAGAGCTGGAGAAGTGTGTGTGAGCCTCATGAAAACATTTATTCTATTATGGATGTCTCTGCTTGGCCTGGCTTCCAGGTCCATTTGTGGTTACAGTCTGTTGTGGCTGACTTTGGAAACTTTATAAAGGCCAAAGAATGATCTCCTGGAGAGAATGAACAAGAGCAGTGTTGAAATGTAAACTCCATTTGACAACTATTTACCAGGCATCTGCCACATGCCCAGCATGCAGAACTAGGAGGAAGGATATATGATGATGAATGAGTGAGAGAAGAATGTCTGCGAGGCATGCTCATGGGCTAGTAGCAGGGAGATGAAAAGTGCTTCTCTCCTGTCCTTAAATGGAAGACATATCTACACTGCACTTTATGCTTAATTCAACACTGTCTTTAATTTTCATCACATCCCTGGGGGAGGTGAAGCAGGGATGGATGTTCTCATTTTCAAAAGAGAAAACTCACATCCAGAGAGGCCAGGAGACCAGCTCGGGGTCTGTAATGGAGAGGGAGGCAGAGCTGCAGTAAGAACATGGGGACCCCTGACTCTGGGATGCTCTTCTGTGGATCCAGACAAGGCATGTGGGACCATAATGGTGAGCTTGCTTGAGGTCTGCGAGGTCAGAACCCACACTTATATCTCCTCCTGAACAGAAATGGCTCGCGTGTTGTCCGCAGTCAGTCAGAGGAGGAGGTAGGCATACCATGGAGCCTCCAGAAGCAGGAGCCAAGACATTCACCAAGCTAGTACCAACAGCCTGCCTTGGTTTGCTCAAACTGCCCACTTTGGAGGCCCAGAAACTACCAGGCAGACAGAAGTGACCCCATAAAGGGAAGAAAGGAAACCTGGACTATCAAGTCAGTGGAAAATGGAGTTGTCAATAAGCTGAATCGCAACAGAAATCTCCTGCATGTTGTCATGTACTTGGACAGGAAGGATGACTGAGAATTCATGGGAAAGGAAGGTGACAGGATATGTATGTGCTGAGTTCAGACTAGGACATGGGAACCAACCACAGATAAAGTCCCTCATCTGCAAGAGGGAAGGTGCCAAGACAAATGAGCTCATGGTGAGGATGCTCTCAGGCACCTCAGTCAACTGGAGAGCCAGGGTCTGTGTTTTATTCAGTGGTCATGTCAGAAGAAAAGACTGAAAACGATTGAGCTATCTCTACCTCTGACATGATACCATTCACATATGCCCATGACGTGAGAGTTGGAGGAGCTGGCATCCCAGTGTGGCCCCTGGGATCCGAGGCAGAAGAGCTTGTCCATGCACTAGCACAGCTGATGTCATTTTGGCCACAAACATTCCAGAACTTCTCTCCCCATCTGTGAACTCTCTGTACCAGAAATAAAATAATCCCAGCATAGTGTCATTTGCTCTGTGGTTCTTTTGTAGCCAGTATAAAAGTTACATGTGAAATGTGAGGGATTCCTGCTTGAAGTAATTAGATAAAGAGGACACTGGGGACTGAGAAAAGGACAGCAAGTCTAGAGAGTTCTTAAGGAAAGATCTGAAGAGAGGAGGGCAACTAAGACTAGGTACATCCAGACTCTGACCTCTACTGGTGACCAGGTGAGTCTTGGCATGAATTTGCCATGGGCCAAACTAAGGCCCAGGAAGAGAACCTGTTCAGCCTTGTATATTGAAGCCACTTGGCATCCCAGAAGTCACCATGGGTCCCAGCGATTAGATGCCAAGACCCCGAGTTAAAAAGCCACCAAGGAATGGATGACAATCAGACAGGGCAGGACCCTCAGTATCATGATTTACCTGCAACAAGGCAACACAGATTTACAAATGGCTCCCTGAAATTACGGAGAAGAGAAGTTACGTATTTTTAATGAGCCTAAGGATGAGAGTTGAACCCAGGGACAATTAACCACTGAACCACATTCCCAGCTCTTTTTAGTATTTTATTTAGAGACAGGGTCTCACTGAGTTGCTTAGTGCCTTGCTTTTGCTGCGGCTGGCTTTGAACTCTCAATCCTCCTGCCTCAGCCTCCCAAGCTGCAGGGATTATAGGCATATGCCACTGGGCCTGGCTCTATTTTAAAGATTTTTAATCAACTTATTGTTGCTGAGGCCCAAATTCCACTTTTCTCAGTAAATTCTGTTACCACAGGCATTTCAGGAGCTTGTGTCCCAGAGTGAGCTTCCTGAGTGGACTGTCATTACCCACTGGGGCCTCTGAGAGTACAGACCCAGGTACTGCTTCCCTCTTGGGTGTGATTCTCATTAGCTGACTCAGCTCATACATTCCACGGGTCCTGGTCTGAGTCATGCGGGGCCCCATCCTCTCTTTCCCACTATGTCGTTGCAGATTGTCAGCCAGCCCCATGTCCAGGAGGACCTGCCCAGTATTGGCAGTGAGTAAGAAAAGCACTACGTGTGCCTCAAGCCAATGAGGGAGGGTGGGGCCTGGCTTTATTTTACGAAAGGGGTATAAATTCTACAAACCTGCATTGAAAACATAGACAAGTAAGTGGGTGTCCTATCAGTGTGGCAATTTAAAAAGAGAGTACTAAGAACCAAAAGATCAAAGGACATGAGGCAAAAATCTCTTGAATCAGGCTGATAAAAACTCCCTGACCCAATGCCAGAGCCTCTCAGGCACCTAAGTGTCATCTACCTTAAGGGGTACCTGCAGTTTACCTCCAGGTACCAGATGTTCCCCTCTGGGAGTGAGGGGCAGCGCTGTGGCTTGACTCCACTTATAGAGGAGACTCTGGGAAGGGTGTTCCCAGGTGGCCCAATGTAGTGGCCCTTCCATAGATGGGGCACGGTACGTGCTGTTGCCTGGGAGATGAGGGAAGAGGGGAGCCCTGTTTCACCCTGATTTGTAGAGATGGAACAGTAGATGTTGGCAAAAGATATGTCTGCTCCCTTCCACACGTCTACCTATTTCTTCCTTTCCTAGTTTCCAATTTCGAGGTTTCAAACTCTAACTGCAAAGAATCTAGAGATGCTTTACATGTGAAAGGACTTAAAAAATTTAAGCATAAAGTTCTTGAGTGTCATCACCCATACTCCCGAATTACCTGTGCATGCTTTGAGACCCAGTGACGGAGGACATTCAGGACTCTGTTGGTGGCTGTTCTCCGTATGATAAACTCTTTGTCACATGTTCTCTCGGTGTTGTTAAACCCTGAGGAGGAAAAGAAGCACATGCTGTCGTTAGGGCCAAGCCCCAGGGACTTGGAAAAGGTCACTTATTTTAGGACATTGGTTTATAAAACTACAAAGCGGTTCATCTTGGCAGAGAGGTGCAAGAGGCTCCAGACTCGTGAATTCTGCTCACCTATTATACTCTGAGTAGCACGTCCACCGCTGCGGAGTCACAGGCGCAATTATGTGAATAATGTGCACCTATTTACTAAAGGCCACTGATGAAAGCTAATGCTGCTCTAATGACATTTCCATTTATGCCTGTCTTGTTCTATACTACAAAGCCAAGAAGGAATATTAACAAAAGACTTTGAGCCAGCATTAATTTGTACTTTTGCCCTAAAGCAATTACATAACCAATAACATTTTGCATATTTGTAGATGAAGAAATCCATATCTTGGCTTGCAGATGATGCAAATACTTTGTTGTGCAACCATATATTGATGGACAAGCAGTAGGGGAGAGGGTTTAAGAACATGTATTTCCAAATGACTAAACATGCAGATTTCAAAAATCTGTGAGAGGTGATGAATCTATTACTTTTCATTTAATCATTCCACAATATAAACATATTCCAAAGCATCACATCATACCCCATAGATGTATAATATATACAACTATTATTTGTCAATTAATAATAATGTAATTTCTTTTAAAAAACCCAGACTGTCTGGGTTCAAATCACTGTTCTCCCACCCTAGCAAATTACATCATTTCTCTAGAGACCAGTTTTTCAAGACTCTCATGAGATTATAAGTACCCATTTCATTAATTGTTGTAGGATTATGTTTGGTAACACCTATTAAACATTTAGAATGGCAGTGGCAAGACTTAAATAAATGCTAACTATTATTACAATTCGATATTTGGTCCAGTGTCTTTTATTATTATTTTTTGGTGTCACTGTGGATTAAACCCAGTGCCTCACATATGTTAGGCAAGTGCTCTACCACTCAGCTACCTCCCCAGACCTGGTCCAGGGTCTGAGTCTTCTCTGTGCCAGCTTATGTCTCTATCTTGGCCACCTTTTCATTATCAGGAAACCATTTTAATACTTACCCACTGACTCCAATTTTAAAAGATTCTGACATCCAGACATAATTATGTCATATATTTCCTTTAAAAATTAATATTTCTGCTGGGCACCATGGTGCAGAGCTGTAACCTAGCAGCTCAGAAGGCTGAGACTGGAGGATTGTGAATTTCAGGTCAGTCTCTGCAACTTAGTGAGACCCTGTCTCAAAGTAAAAAATTTTTTAAAAGGCTGGGGATGTGGCTCAGTGATGAAATACCCCTAGGGTCAATCCCCAACACTGCAAATAATAATAATAAAGAGTTGTCTATACTCAGTGATAGTCATCGGGACTCTCCCTCTACAACTTACTCCAAGCATCTAACCCCATCTCACACCAAGACAGCTCCCATTAAAGACATCAATAGACCTCCATGTCCCCATATCCAAGGGGTCATCTTTAATTTCTCCCTAGTCTCATCCAGCTCCACTACTTGTACAGTCACCTTTAAGCAAGTTGCTCACATATTTGTATCCCCAGGTCTCTTCTCTGAGTTCCAGACCCTATATCCAATTCCTCTTAATACTTTCCCTCTTGGATGTTTCAAACACACCTCAAACTCCATGTGTTCAAAAGGCAAATCCATGGCCTTTCCACCAACTTTAAGCTCTTTATCTGGGTAAGGAAGCATCACCATTCATCCAGTTAGGTGAGCCTGAATTTTGGAATTTTTCTCCTCTCATCTCTCCATTGCTTCCTAATAATTTTACCTGTTCAGTACATCTCAGATCTGCCCATTTTTTCCTATTTACACAGAATCGGGGTTGTGCTACCAGCAGCTCTCATTTGTTCCACTGTAATAGCACCCCAGCTGGTCTCCAATCTCACTCTTGCCTCCTCAAATCTGTTTTCCTCACTGGAGTCAGAAAGACCTTTTCAAAGGGCAAAGGCAATTATATAACCAATGGCATTTTGAATATTTGTAGATGGATGAGCCCATATCTTGGCTTGTAGAGGATACAAATACTTGATTATGCATCCATATATCGACTAGCTGTATACGATAGTATTTAAGAATGTGTACTTCAAAATTACTAGAAGTATATATTTCAAAGGATTCCAATCTTTAAGGCCTTTGGGTGTTTCTTATGACAAATACAAAACTCCTTAACACAGAAGGTTTTTCATGATCTGGTCCTCTCTCTTCTCAGCTTTTCTGGAACAATATTCTTCTATTTCCACATCCATCTCCCCACCCATATTTTAATTCAACATGACGAGAGGGCCTTTGTACATATTGTCCTGTACCTGGAACAATTATTGAGTCCATTTTTACTCAGTGAAAGCCACTCAGTCTTGCTCCTTTTTACTTCCCCAGATAAGCCCTCCTGGGCCATTACATATCTCATAATGTGATATACATTTGATTTTGGGCATGTATTACATTAGTAGTTTTATACTTAGATATGTGATTATCTGATCACTATTTGTGTCTTCCATGAAGAAAGAGATCTGGTTTGATTTTGCTGAGCCTCTGAGCACCTGCCTGGCACGTAGCAAATGCTGCACACAATATATATTTGCTAAAGGAACAAATAAAAGCCTGGATGGTAAGAACTTAATTTTATTCAATGAGACATGAATGTGAGGATGATTGAGTGAATGACTGAAAGAACAGTCCTCAGAGCTTATGAGTGAGACAGAAAAAAAAGTCTATAAGCTACTAAAGGGCAGAGGGCCCTTCTCACCAGTGTTCTTTGAATGTAGACAGGCATCTTCTGCCCGCCCACCAGCAAACTTTTAAATTCTAGCAGAGAATGGTGATGATGTGCTCTTGGCAGGATAGATAGCTCTAAATAAAAAAATCTTTCTTTATTGAAAACTTAGAAATTCTAATAAAATATAAGAAATATTCTAAATGGAAAGCTGAGTTCTCAAGAAAGTAAGGGATTCTTCAGGGTCAAACACACAGTGTGATCTGGAAACCACGATGGCTGTTTGTCAGTTATGGTGACTTGGGATGGGAATTAAAACATCCATGTGGTCAGGGGAAGAAACCCCAGGATCTGCATGAGGAATAAGTAGCAGGATAAGAACTAAGACAGCCACATAAAGACGGACTCTCGAAGAACTACCCTTGTGTGAAAGAGTGAACCAGGAAAAATTATTTTATTTACAAATGGGACAATTAAGAAACTTGTCTGGGGCTGGGGACGTAGCTCAGTGTGGGTCCCCACACTGTCACTCCCCCAAAAGAAAGCAACATGTGAGCCTTGCCTGGATTTCATCAGGGGTGGGGAAATGCATCCCTGAGAACTCATAACGGCAGGCACGCCACAGACAGGAGTGATGCTCATACTGAGCCACCACTGTGCAACCTGCCCTCCTGGATGAGAAGTTAACATGAAGGACCCTGGTGACTCCTACAATAGTCCTCACAACACCTCTCTGGAAAAACACATGCTCCATCTCAGCCTGTACTGAATGGCCACCAGCCAAGAAGAAAAACTCGCAATCCAAAATTCCAAAACACAAAAACTATCTATCATGAGCAAAGATCAGTAGACACAGGGATCAGGAGCCCATCATTCCCCACCTGACTACCACCAAGAATTTCAAATATTGGAACTATTAGATCTCTCTAGTTTAAACATCCCAAAGTTGGGATGTTTACAAAGACCAAAGAAACAAAAGTGGGAGTTGAAAATATGACAAAAGGATAAAAAAAATTTAAATGTTTTATAAGAATAACATAAGCCAGGCATGGTAGTGCACACCTGTAATCCCAGCAGCTCAGAAGGCTGAGACAGAAGGATTGCAGGTTCAAAGCCAGTCTCAGCAACAGTGAGGTACTAAGCAACTCAGTGAGACCCTGTCTCTAAGTAAAAATACAAAATAGGGCTGGGGATATGGCTCAGTGGTTGAGTGCCCCCAAGTTCAATCCCCAGTACCCCCCGCCAAAAAAAGATATGAAAGAAATAATTAAAATTTTCAACTTATGTCTAGTAAGGTTGTCAGAAGGAGAGAAAAAATAAACATAAACAGTATAGAAAAAGGTTTTGCAAGACTTGGTGAAAGACATGGATCTTCAGGTGCAGGAATCACAATGAATCACAAGCAGGAAAACAAAATGAAAACCACACCTAGACAACCTGAAATGTCAGCAACCCATAAAAAAGGTAGCTTTGAAACAACCACTGAGAATGTACAGGTTATCCCTAATGCAAAATCAGGGGATGGGGTTGGGAAATGGTGTCGTACATGAAAGAAGCATATTGCAAAGTGGGTTCATTGAAGTAGAGCAGAGGCCTCAAGTGAAGAGAGCTGGTGACTGATAAGAAGCCCTTATTTTGTTAAAGGAGGAAAGTAGAATGTTCTTGAAACACTGAAAAGGTAGGTGAGACAGAGGCCCCTTCCCCCACATAAATAAGTATGAAGATAGCTCTCAGTGAGAAGAGAACAGAATGGGGGAGACGGGAGTGAGGAAGGAACAGAAAGATGGAAATCAGTCATCATGACATGTTAAGCAGGAAAATCATCTCAAGAGAGCTGTTACTTATTCAAATGTATTTTAGAAAAAGCAACTACCTCCTTTGGTCCTTCTGCATATGTGTCATGGGTGGGTAGAGAAAGGGGTTTACTTTGAAAGGCGGGCAAACAAATAAAAGGAACTTTCTACTGATCTCCAAATGATTTAATATCACAGGCTTAAAGACCGTGTAAAGGGTTTTCCTAATCAAATTTCCAATATTTTCATAGATTTAAATCTTGACCTCTATTACCATTTAGGTTGGGATTTGATTATACTGCTTGGATGTTCCTCATCACTGCCTCTAATAAATGTGCTGTTTGTGTTTTTTGTTGTTATGGTTTAGATGATGGCTTCGCACATTCACAGACTTCTCTTTGCTACTTAGAGCTCATGACTGCCACTTGCAGGGTTCAAAAATTCTCTTGGAAAACAAA